TTGTCTCTAAATAAAATACAAGAAAGGGCTGGGGATGTGGTTTTATGGTTAAGCGACCCTGTTGGGAAAACATAACGGCAGCCACATCCCAGAGAAAAACCCCAGCATGGCGTCTAACGACCCTCCTTCTCCTCTTTGTCTCTTTCACTGGCGCGAAACCTTCCCAATGTTCAAACCCTGCTGGTGGGAAGCCTTAGCCTCAATTAGAATTAACTTCTTGGGCTCCGGAACTGACATATGGAAGAGCTTGCCAATAAACGGGCGACCTGTTATCTACCTCAGCCCTGCGACCTCTCCTTAGACCTATATAAACACACAGCTTTTTGTAATAAAGTGGGAAAACTCTTTGGTAATCTGTGTCGTGTGGTGCGGCGTTTTTCTAGTCTTACAGACCCTAGTTACAATCCCAGGCACCAAATAAGAAAAAGAAAAAAAAATATGATCATCCTCTACACACTGTAGATAGGCCTTCTGGAGAGCATGTATTTGCAAGATGGCAAGATATAGGTAGAGAATACCTGGGTTTTCTCCATGTGCTAAATAACCCCCCAAAAATCAAACCCATGGTCTCAGTCTAATTCAGTCAATGTGAATCAAATCAGCTACCTAAAAATTATTTTGGTTGATTACCTATTTCTATGTAATTTGATGGTTATTGTCTCCAGTGCACTTCACTAGAGTGGTACCATGCCTGGGAAAGGCACAGGTTCTTTGGCAGCTTGTCAACCTGTGAACTTTTGTGGAGATGAAAAATACTTAGCTCTAAAAGCAGAAGTAGTTCCTCTTCACCTGCTCCCAACCAGTGACAACAGTGGTTGGTCATGGTGGTTTTAGTCTCCGCTAACTAGTTTTCTGCTACCAGCAGGTTTGCTGTACTCAGTGCTAGGTGTTTCATAACATTAATAAAGCCCAATAGGCCTGATCATTGCAAAAGCAATGAGAATGTTGCATATGCTATCGGGAAGAGGCTTATGATTATGATGATAATAAAGAGATCAACATGAATGTGGCACGAATGTGTACCCTGAGGCTACACGTGGGTACAAATGAGCAGGAGTTATTCTTTCTGTGTTCTTTGCAATGTTAGGGATCAAATCAGTGCCTCTTACATGCTAGGCAAGCGCTCTACCACGGAGCTACACCCCCAACCCACAGGAGTGATCCTGAAAATCAAAGAGAGACTCAAAATATGTGAAAAACTTTGTCTAGGTCATGCAACATTGAACATCAGTTTGCAAGAGATGAGGAAACGTCATCCAAGATATAGAAACTAGTTTGGATGTGTGATTAGAGAATTGTCAACAACATTGAATGCCTATGATCCAAATAATTATTCAGATAAGGGCTAAAATTATATGCAAGCATTTAAAATCCAGGTATACTGCAAATACTCATTCTGAAATCTTTGCTGAATGCCAGGGATGGTTCCACAATAGCTAAGCTATGAAACCAACCCAGATGACCATCAACAGATGATTGGATAAAAAATTATGGTATATGTACACAATGGACTATTACTCATCCATAAAGAAGAATGACTTTTATGACATTTGCTGGTAAATGAATGTAACTGGAGACAATCATGCTAAGTGAAATAAGGCAATTCCAAAAAACCAAAGGTCAAATGTTTTCTCTGATACGTGGATGTTAACTCACAATAAGGGTCGGGGGATGATAGAAGTTCAGTGGATTAGACAAAGGGGAATGAAGGGAAGGCCAGAGATAGGAATAGGAAAAAACAGTGAAATGAATCTGACATAACTTTTCTATGTACATTTATGAATACAGCACAGTGAATCTCAACATTGTGTACATCTACAAGACTGGGATCCTAAATAGAATAAAATATATTCCGCGTATATAAACGTATCAAAATAGATTCTACTGTCATCTATAACTAAAAAGAACAACAGCAACAAAAAAAGACCTGTTAGATTACACAAAATTAAATTCCCTCTACACAAAATTAAATTCCTTCATTGGAGTTGCTAAGGAGTTTTTTGTTTTGTTTTGCTTTCTCCTTTTGCAGTGCTGGGGGTTGAACCCAGGCCTCACACGCATTAAGTAAGCACTTTATCACTGAGCTACGCCACCATTCCTTTTTACTTTTTATATTGAGACAGGGTCTCACTAGGTTGCCCAGGCTGGCTTTGAACCTGCTATCCTCCTGCCTCAGCCTCCCAAACTGTTGGGATTATAGGCGAGCACCACCGCATCCGGCGGAATTCTTTGACATTTGGCAAAACTCACCAAGTGCTGCTTTTTCTGATTTTCAATGTCTGTATGAACTAGTCTAGTTTGAATAAAGTAGCCCAGGAGAGTGGATATCAGCAAGAAGGAGAGAACTCTGCCTAGTTTTAAAGCTCTGAAGGACCAATGTGTCTTAGTTTATGTACTAACAGAATTCACTGTATTTTTAAAAAATCATGCCTTTTCACTGAACATTGGGTAGTCAGATTTTCCTTTAGTTTTTAGCTGGTTCTGTAACATAAGATTTTTTTGTTTTGTTTTGTACCAGGGATTGAACTCGGGGGCTTTTAAACACTGAATCACATCCCCAGCCCTTTTTTGTATTTTATTTAGAGACAGGGTCTCACTGAGTTGCTTAGGGCCTCACTAAATTGCTGAGGCTGGCTTTGAACTCACAGTCCTCCTGTCTCAAGCCTCCCAAGCTGCTGGGATTACAGGCGTGCCCCCACTGTGCCCAGCTAACATAAATTCTTAATGGCGACTCTGTATCCCATTTCTGTATGTCACCTGATCCATCTTCTGCTTATCTCATAAGGATGCTGGTATTAATATCATTTGTCATAAATTGTTATGTTCCCCTGAATATTTTTTTCCTTGTATTTTAAGGATTTTTTTTCCTCTTAACTTTTATTTTATTTGTTTATTTTTATGTGGTTCTGAGGATCGAACCTAGGGCCCCACAGGTGCTAGGCGAACGCTCTACCCCTAAGCCACAACCCCAGCCCCCCTCTTAATATTTTATTAGGATAAATCAGTAGAGTGAAGTTACAGGTTATAGTATGTAAACATGTTTAACTTTATACTATGTTCTCAAATTTACCTGTGGAAAGGTTTTGGTAACTAATATTTCTACCAGAAAAAATACCAATATTCCTATTGCCACCAATTGTTGTTGATACCAGTTACTGTCTACTATATCTTTTCATTTTTTGAGAAGAAACAAATAATTCTAAAGTTTATAAATTTGATTGTTACTTAGATCTTTTCCTATAAATTTCATTTATGTCTGTTGCCATTTTTTTTATTGAAAACATTTCTATTAAAAAATTGGCCAGGGGCTGGGGATATAGCTCAGTCGGTAGAGTGCTTGCCTCGCATGCACAGGTCCTGGGTTCAATCCCCAGCACCACCACCAAAAAAAAAAAAAATTTGGTCAGGCTGGGGGTATAGCTCAGTGGTAGAGCACTGGCCTAGCACGTGTGAGGCACTGGGTTCAATCCTCAGCACCACGTAAAAATAAATAAATAAAATAAAGGTGTGTGTCCAACTACAACAACAACAACAACAAAAATGGCAACGGTGATTTGTAATAGTGCTTTACATATTGAGAGTTCTGCTTCCCCCCATCTTTTCATTATTTTTTAAAAATAACTTTATTTTGTTTATTTATTTTTATGTGGTGCTGAGGATCAAACCCAGTGACTCACATGTGTGAGGCAAGCACTTTGCCACTGAGCCACAACCACAGCCCTTCATTTGATTTTTTTAAATATATTTTTTAAAAAAAATTTTTAGTTGTATATGGACGTTACTATATATATATATATACACATATATATATAAAAAATATTTATTTATTTATTATTTATTTATATATTTTATCTGGTGCTGAGGATTGAACCCAGTGCCTCACATGTGTTAGGCAAGTGCTCTACCGCTGAGCCACAACCTCAGCCCTGATATGTATGTATGTGTGTGTGTGTGTGTGTGTGTGTATTTTTTTCCCCCTTTTGGGTACTAGAAATTGAACTCAGGGTCATTCAACCACTGAGCTATATCCCCAGCCTCTTTTTTGTAATTTATTTATTTACCTTTCCATGTGGTGCTGAAGATAGAACCCAGGGCCTCACACATGCTAAGCGAGCGCTCCACCATTGAGCCACAGTTGCAAGCTTCATAAGGTTTTTTTACTTTATTGATAGTGGCCACCATTGTTTTTGCATCTCTAAATTTAAGGTCATACCAGTTGCAATTAATTCACCTGGATGTAGGGTGTGGGGGCACATGCCTATATTGCCAGCAGCTCAGGAAGCTGAGGCAGAAGGATTGCAAGTTCAAAGCCAGCCTCAGCAACTTAGCAAGGTCCTAAGCAACCTAGAGAGACCTTGTCTCAAAATAAAAAAACAAAAAGGTTTGAGGATGTAGCTCATTGGTTGAATGCCCCTGGGTTCAAAATGTTGTGAAACATAAAAGATATTTATCAGATACTTCCAATGATCAGTCTACTCAGAATTAAAAAGTATTGGCCTATAATTCTAACATGAATTTGTAGACAATTGAACTCCTACTCTTGGTTCTGACAGAATCCTACAAAACAAGATATTAATTTGAACATTAATAGTTATTATAAATTGCTATAATGTAGCAAAAAATAAAAATCTATGTATTAAAGGCTTGGTCCCCAGAGTGATATCATCTGGAAGTGGTAGAATCTCTGAGAGGTAGGGCCTAGTGAGAGGTTCTTAGGTTATTGGAGGTGGACCCTCAAAGGAAACTGTGGGACCCCAGCTCCTTCTCCACCATGTTATGCAGCTTTGCCAGAGACCCAAAGACAAAGGGCTAGCCAATCATGGACCAGAATCTCCAAAACTGTGAGTCCAAATAAACCCTTTCTCTTCATAAATTAATTATCTCAAGTATTTTATTATAGTAACAGAAAACTGACTAACTCAGGAATGTTATGAAAATAAACAAAGATGTTGAATATGAAAGCATTCTAGACTTTTAGATGATTTCACATAAAACCAAGCTGTTGCATTAATATTCTTTTATTTTGTTTCAAAAACTCTAATTCATCGGGTATAGTATAACAAGAAAGACACAGAATTCATCATTATTTATACCTCAGGCTCAAAAGTTATGTCCTGCTTACATTCCCAAGAAATTTTATTGTTGACTTTTCTTCATTTGAACGCAAAAAGAGGTCAGTCAGTGAAACATTTTCCTGCAATAGAATAAAATTGGTTTTTTAAATTATATATTTTTATAAATAAGTAATAAATGAGTATTTAAAGGAATACATAAACTCTCATTCCCACTGATGTCTCCATCCTCCCTCTGCCTTTATCCGGGTCTCTGTGGTTTCTTTCACTTTTCCAGTGTTTCATCATATATGAAAACAAATGCAAATAGTATTATTGCTTTCATTTTCATACACAAAGTAGCATACTCTGCTTTGTGCTCTACCTTGCTTTTTTTTTTTTGAGCCTAACATTATACCTTGAGGGTTGGGGTATAGCTCAGTGGTAGAACACTTGCCTCATACGTGCAAGACCCTGAGTTTGATTCCTAGCACCACTGAACAACAACAACCGTAAGTAATAATAATATATCTGAGTAGAGACCTTCAATAGGAAGACATTTACTGTAAACATGGGACATGATGATACTGGCAATAAACAAGAAATTTTAAAAAAATTTTTGTCTCACAACAAAAAATGATAACTGGGCTGGGCCTATAGCTCAGTGGTAGGGCACTTACCTAGCATGTGTGAGGCACTGGGTTTGATCCTTAGCACCACATACAAATAAATAAAATAAAAACATTCTGTCCATCTACCACAAAAATGGTTTTTAAAATAACTATGTGAGGCAATGAATACGTTGATTAACATGATTTAACCATTTCCCAGTGCATGTATATATCAAAGCATGTTGTATGCCATAAATACATATTTTATTAGTCAAAAAAGAAAATAAATAAATAAAAATAAAATCTTAAAATAAATAAATGGAGCACCCTGCCCATCTCTTCAGCAACCCCCCCCAACCCAAATTCCTTATCTTGGTTCTGCCACCAGACATTGAAACCAGTTTCTGCTCTTTTCTGGCGAAACAGCTCGACCAGTTGAGGGGTTTGTGTTTTTTCCCCTCCAATGCTGGAGATTGAACCCAGGCCCTTGCACCTGCTGGTCAAGTGCCCTGCCACTGAGCTACACCCCCCAGATTGCCTTTCACGCCTGCCTCCTGGTTAGGTGTGGACATGCAGCTAAATTCCATTGGATAGAATGGGAGCAGAGTATCTGAGCATCATTTCTAGGTCCAACTCATAACCAAATCCCCCAGATCCTCCATGTTCTCTCCCATCTATCAGCAAAATGCCAATGCCTAGAATGTCCCCCATAAGCTGCAAGTTGAAGATGACAGAATCACCAATTGGAAGGAACTGGGTCCTGTCCTTGAATTACCATTTAGAAGCAAGACACCCACCATCAGAAATAACCATTTTGGGTGTATATGGTGAGGAAAAAAAAGCTTCCTATCATGTTTCATGAGCCAGAAGACATTGTGGGGTTGATTGTTATAGCAGCTAGTATTGCCTTCATTAACACAGACAGCAATCTCAAAGTGCCTTCATCTAATCTTCTGTGCAAGGCATGAAAGCATGAATCTCTTCCACAACATTCTACATTACTGCTCATCCTGTCTGATGTGTTTTGTATATTATGTGAATTTTCCTGTTGAGGTGGTAGAACCTTTAAAAGGTTGGACCTATTAGAAGGAAATGAGGAACGTAGGGTACTAAACAGAATAACAACGCTGGTCTCGTGGAATGGATTAGTTCTTCTGAGAATGGGTTTTTATAAAGCAAGTTTGACTGTCTCAACTCTCTGTCTCTTGCTTCCTATCTGGCCATGTGTTCTATCTCTCTCTCATTCACACTTCCACCATGATGCCATCTGCCATGTTGGGGTGTAATGCGATTGCCAGAGGCAAGCAGAGACTGGTACCATCCTCTGGGACCTCCAGAACTGTGAGGGTATTTAAACCTCTTTCCTTTACCCAGCGTTGGGTACTTTGTTATAGTAACATAAAATGTACTAAAACACAATCCCTGCATATTAAATGATCACAGAACCTCTACTGGACTGTGATTCCTTTGGAGGAAGTGACTATGTTAGTCATCTTTGTATCTTTAGTACCTAACATGTCTGGCATATGGCAGGTACTCAATGAATGCTTTTGGATGAATTAAGGAATATTGGAACAACTCCAAAGGTACAAAATTATGTTACTGTTGTATTAGTCAGTTTAATACACTTTGATCAGCTTAAATGATTAGAAAATTGGTTATATGGAGCTAAACTCCACCACCCTTTAACTTGTAACAATTTATGATCACTCTTTGTGGGCACACAAAATAAGTCTGAACCCTCTTTGAGACAGCACTTCAACTGTTTGAGGATACCCATTCCCATCTCTTCCATGACAGATCCTCTGGCCTTCAGGGTAAGTAGACTAATGCTCTTTAATTGTCCTAAGGTTACAGTTTCTAGAACTGTCATCACCATCTTTGCCCTCCTCTGAACACACTCAGGATTGCCATTGCTCTTCCTTCAATGGGTACTCAGGATGGATGTACTCTTGTCGGGCACCTGACCAGCTGGTATTGGAACCCATTGCCTCTCTTGGACACCATCCTTCAGTCAAAGCAGCTTAATCTCTTAAGGCGGCCATATCACCTGTTAAATCTCCCTGAGCTTGTGATCAAGCTTTCTATCTCTCCTCTCTCCTCTCTCCTCAAAACACCTGGGGGTGCACATCTTTTGACGTAGAATGACTCATAGCAGCAATGGGAATGTAAAGCTTCCCAGAAACATCAAGCTTGTCGAACAACATGAAATGGTACAGGTAATTTTTCTCAGCTGCACTAAGCTTATCCACAGGTATCTGAATATTGTGCAGTGAACTGGGATATACAGACCAAGGACTGTAGCAGCCAAAGAAAGAAAAAATCAGGCACAGCACCAGCAAACAAGAACAAAACAGTGGGCACTGTGTGCTTTTCTCCAAGGTACTGCCTAGCACCTTCTTAAGCTAAGGGATAATGACCATGAAACAAAGACATGCATTTCATTCAACAGAAAAGCCTGGTTTGATGTGTTGTCAATTTCTTCATCTCATTTCGCACACTGTACAACCGCACATTCCCCAAATACCCTCAGCCATCGGGTAAATAAATACTGCTTCCTGGGGGAATCAAATCATTTCTGTATGTCTCTTGCCCGTGATCACTTTCTTATAAAGCAGACATCTTATGTGCTTTGCGCTGATTAATTTCTCCTGCTATTTCTGCCCCACAGCTCTCAAGCCATGCCACAGAGGCTGGGTTCACCTCCCACCTTAGACCAAGATTCTGCATGTTATTATTTGACCTCCTTTGAAAAACTCTTTGCCAGCTTTATAACCCGATCCGGGCACACCCCCCATCGGGGCCTGCATTTCCTGTGGATGATGCGATGGTTTCCTAGGTGACAGTGGGAAGGAATATAGACCTGTTAGCTTGTGGCTTCTGACTCACCCACTGCAATGGACGTCACAGAATCCTGGCTGAACAAGTGGATGCTGATAATAAGCTTGTGCTTAAGGTAGCAGCGGGGCACTAATGGTTAAAACAACCCCATTGTACCAGCAAGCCAACAGACCCACAGAAATGCCAGATCTGGAAAAACAAACAACAGATCTGAAACCTCTCTGAACTCTCAGTCGTACATGAATTCACAGTGGAGTCCTATTTACAACACCAGTGTTCTGCTCCGTTCCCTGTAGAATATCCTTTTCTTTTCTGGAATGTAGAAGTGTCAGGGTTCTCTAATGAAAGGACATATGGTATCTGGAGAGGGAGGGGTGGAAACAAGTCAAAAACTCATCAAAAGGCTCTTTATGAAGGTGACAGCAGCTTTTGAATTTTCACATTTGTTCCCCGAGATAAGTAAGCTCACACAGTGGACTAACCGATCATCGGAGTCTAGAATGAAAAATATATTCTAATGAGCAATAAATCTTCAGAAAGTTGATTTCATGAAGCCTGAGGAGCAGACAGACAGACACACAGAGACTGACTTCGTAACTACCTCTCTGTGAAATGATCCTAGGCATGCACGAGTCAAAGAAAGCTGTCTAGAATAAAAATCCAGAGTTCCTTTGTCCTTTGCATCAGCACCAGTGCAGACTGAATGAATTCTTAAGATTCTTGAATTCCTTAAATGACCAGCAAACCTAAAGGTTCCCAACTAGAGATAATGCATCTTGTTTTCCTCTGGGCCTTGAGGGATGCTTTAAATAGCATCAGCAAGCATCCAAATGAATTAGACAGCAAATGTAGGTTAGCTTTATTTAGACAGATAAAGACACGCAGAGAAAGTTGTCTGGTTCAAGGGCAGTGCAGCCTGACACGACAGCATTTCTCAGAGGAGGGGAAACTGCTTCGGGTGAGAAAGGTATTTTGGGCAAAGAGCAAAGTTCCTTGGCTCTCCAGGGGCAGAGAGGCTAAGATCCTTCAGTGCAGAAGAGCAGAATTTAAGAATGGCCTGCCACTCATTGACAGAAAGAGCTACAGATCCACGACGTTAAACAGAATGTAACATCTCGTAGTTCACACCTTGTCTTTCCTCCTGCCTATTCCTTGAGAACACCATCAGAAGAGAACACAAGCTGGGCCAGGGAGTTTGCGTAATTCCTCTGGAGCAATGTTTTAGATTTTTGGCAAATTCCAAGTCAGGAAATACCGTCTTCCCTCCATACCCATAGGAGATTGGTTTCGGGACCCCCTTGGGATAACAAAAATCTAAGAATGCTCCAGTTCCTTATATAAAATGACATAGTATTTGCATATATCCTATGCAAATCTTCCTGTATGCTTCAAGTCGACCTTAGACTACTTAAAATATCTCAGCAATGTAAATGCTGTATGAATAGGTGCTAGACTATATTGTTTGGGAAATAATGACAAGAAAAAAAGTGTATATGTTCAGGACAGATGCAATTTTTTTTTAAAATCAAAGACTTCGAATGGTTGAAATGGAATGGTTGGTTGAATCCAAGGATGCTGGACTGTGGACCCAGAAAGCCAACTGTATGTCCAGGTGGAGGGCCCCTAGAGATGTGGAAGTTCAGAAAGCAGAGAAACGGGCGAATGTGGGAACTTTGACTCCTTAAACAAAAATATTGTTTGAAAAAATGTTGCAGCCCATGGGTTTGGTCTATTTCTCTCCCTCTTCCCTGCCCACTCCTTTGAATTATTTTCTAAAAATAAATGTTTATTTCTATGTATTTTCTGAAAATAAATGCTATATGGAAGGTAGTGGATCCATAAAAAATAAAACTTACTGCTTCTGTTTGTTTTTATTATGATGTTTATGATTTCTTCTCCAATTTTTTACTGGTTTCCTCTCAGTTGCAAAAGCCAAATGACATTTGTTATAAAATACAGCAGCTTGTAGCCCCAGTAGTAATTAGTTTTAAGAAGAAAAAGGTCATTTCAAATTAGTGGATTTTTATTATTTGAATAGATTATAACCCTAAACATTTAATAATTTTATGAATAAACCTATTTTTTCCCAATTTGTGGATGTGTGTGTCTGTGCACACATGTGTGATGTGTGATGCTGGGGATTGAGCCCAGGGCCTTGGACATGTTAGGCAAGTGTTCAACCACTGAGTTACATCCTCAGTCCCCTAATGATTTTTTGTTCCTAAGGTAACACTGAAAATATATATATATATATATTTATAAATTAATATATATATAAATATATATATTTTAAATTTATATATAACCATATATATAAAGTTTGTATACATAAATAAACTTTAAAAATTAAAAACTTAGTTTTGAATATATTTTAATTTTTAACCCAATTAATTTTATTGATATTTTCTTTTTTAAAGAGTCTCACAACTTCGAAAATCAAAGGGAAAATATGCTATAACCCTATCATGAAGCCAAATCTGAACCTCATTTTGAATTAGGCATTCAAGCTGCTTTCATTATACTTATTCCTTCACACATTCCATCCATTTCTTCCTTCCACATTATTTAAAAAAAATTTTTTTAGTTGAACATGGACACAAAACCTTTATTTTACTTATTTTTTGTTTTATGTGGTGCTGAGGATCAAACCCAGTGCCTCATGTGTGCAAGGCAAGCACTCTACCACTGAGCTACAACTCCAGCCCCCCTCCACATTATATACGGAGCACCCATTGTATATACACAGAGCAAAAGGCATACTTGGTTGTTCCATTTCCCCATTTCTGGCTGCTTGTCTTTGTCTGATTGATCCCTCACCCTAAGCTTCTTTCTTCATTTGCTAGTCAACTAGTATATGTGGTAAAACTTTATTCAGTTGAGAATTACTTTAGCCAGAGCACATGAAATTTGCCCAGTCCACTGCCAAAAATTCAATATACATTTAACTATTGGCAAAATTGGCAACTCAGTTAATCATTTGATGCCATTACAATTCTAGAAAAGTGATAGAAAGCCAATAACCCTGACTATAATTATATAGAAATAGATTCAAAAGGCTTAGCTGAGCCCCAGATGCAAAGTTCATCCCAGAATTACATCACCTTTTTATAAAACCCTCACATCTTGGGGCTGGGGCTCAGCGGTAGAGTATTCACCTAGTATGTGCGAGGCCCTGGGTTCGATCCTCAGCACCACATAAAAATAAATAAATAAAACAAAGATATTGTGTCCAACTACAACTAAAAAAAATTTTTTAAAAAAATAGAACCCCTACATCTAAAACCAGTCCTATATATTTTTAAAATGTGTGTAGTTATGAGAACCTAATCAAAAGGAAAACTATCCTTCTAATTTTTTCAGTAAAGGGACTAGCATTTCTACTTTAACTGAAATGAAAAAAGTAAATAACATCCCTGGGATCTCTATTTCTTGCTTTGATATCTTCAGTCACTTCGCTATTATTCGAACACCTTTATTAGAATTTCTCAGTTTGTGCTAATAGTAAGGAGACCTTTGAAATGTTCTTCAATAAGTCAGTTTCATAACTGGTTTTTAATATTTTTAAGTGCTGGAGGAAAAAGAAACTTTAAATGCAGGTAGAGAGCAAAGTTATAATCAATCACTGAACCAAATAAATAAAATATGATGTATGTAATTTTTTTAAAAAATAGAGCAATTTTTGTTTGTGGGTGGCTCTCTCTGGTTGTTCTTCACTTTTGCTGCACAAAATATTATTTCGGTAATCTTATTACACTGTAAAGAGGAAAACAGTGTAACAGTATTTGCCTAGGTAAAATAGGAATAGCACATTTTATTTTTATTTTGTGACATTTGTGGCTCTTCAGCATGACATTGGCATTCTTCCTCTTCTGATGCAACTTCCTCCTCTGTTTTTGTTTTGGTCGGGGCTGTTTCAACCTCCCCCTTTCCTGCCCGTGAGGTCCTGAGCTGCCACTTTGTTTTCAGAATCTCCACTTCTGTTTTCGGTGGCAACACCTACACGTAAACATCTAGCTGCCCATCCACAAGGACACACACCCACGCGCTCTCAACTCACACAAACATCATGCACAAGTCACACACGCACACAGCCTGGCTCCCCCAGGGAGCTCAAACCACTCCAGCTGTTCTCTAGCCCTGGCAACAAAAGCAGCATCGGGCTCCCAGTGTCACTTCTCTGACACTAAAAATGCTGCTTCTAAGGAAGCTCTCATGGCCCTTGGAGCAAGGAGAAGCTGGCTGCACAGCTGAAGTCAAAGATGGCAGAGCCCAGTGCTGGAGGCTGCACGTAGGGATCAGAGGGGAAGGATCAAGGATTGGGCTCCTCTGAGTGAAAGGCTTCGTCCTGACTGGGCACATTCGTGTACTGATATTTCAAGATTCAGTCCAGGTCATCCTCTCTCTCAAGATTTTCCTGCAGTGCTATCTCCTCTATCCCCCTATAATCCTGGTTTAATTAGATGAGTTGCCCCATGTCAACCTGCAGCAAGCACATTGGATTGAAAACTTCAAAATGCTGGGGCTTTGGCTGATTCATCTTTCATTTTAGCACCTGGCACCTGGTGGGCATCCACACTCTCCTTCCATGGGGGAGATGGCTACCGACTTTTGATGGAGGGGGAAAGAAAAGGGGTCCTCCCTGGCACATCTTCCTCTCTTTCCAGTTAAGATTGGCAGTGAAGAGGTGACATTACGCCATGGATGACATGTGACATTAACTCAGTAAAGAACACCAGCTGCCTCACCTTCACCCCTACCACTGAGAGAACAACTTCTTCTTCTTCTTCTTCTTCTTCTTCTTCTTCTTCTTCTTCTTCTTCTTCTTCTTCTTCTTCTTCCTCTTCCTCTTCCTCTTCCTCCTCTTCTTCTTCTTCTTCTTCTTCCTCTCCTCCTCCTCCTCCTCCTTCTTTTTCTTTAAATTTTTTTTAGTTGTAGATGAACACAGTATCTTTATTTTTATTTATTTATTTTTTATGTGGTGCTGAGGACCAAACCCAGGGCCTCACACGTGCAAGGCAAGCGCTCTACCACTGAGCCACAACCCCAGCCCATCTTCTTCTTTTTTTTAAATATATATATTTTTTAGGTGTAGATGGACACAATGCCTTTTTAAATTTGGTTATTTTTATGCGATACCAGGGATTGAACCCAGTGCCTCATGCATGCTAGGCAAGCACTCTACCACTGAACCACAACCCCAGCCTCATTGAGAGAACTTCTAATGAACAATAAATAAGTCCAATGACACCCCCCAAAAAATAGCCTTTCACAAACTTGCAAGTGTGAATGAGAAGAAATGCTTCCATCAAGGAGGGCTGTGTGAGTAATGGGAGAACATGGCACCTGTCTTTTAAATTGGTTGATAAGATTCAAATTGTTTTGAAATCAGGAGAGGATAAGGACGAGATGGAACTGTGTTAGGTTCTTTACTTGAAAGATGTCGTTTTAATTTGCACAAAAACCCATAGAAATCAGCTTATTGTGTTCATTTTACCTGCAAAGAAAGTGAAGGTGGGAAAGGGTGGTGACCGGGAAGCAGTCCTAGTACTAACCTCAGCAGAACTTCGGTTTGAACCCAAATCTAATGACTCCCCAATCCTTTCTTCACTCCTTTTGGTTCCTCTGTTTTAAAAATATTGACATCTTTTCAGAGAGGCTGAAAAACAAAGATTAAATATTTATTGAGCACTGACCAGTGGGTCACACATGACTATGGGGATAGAAAAACAAAATCATCCTACAACCAAAGAGCTAAGTATCAAGTGCAAGGCTGATGGAACAGGCTGAAAATCAGACAACGAAATAGGGTTACAGGAAAGGGGGTGGGCGTGGCTGTTGGAGAACTAAAGGGAGGATGCTTGGCCTTGGTTGTTGAGGGAGGGTAGGGGACCCCACAGAACACAGGAAGATGTTTCTGAGCAGATGCTAAGCAGGGCAGGGGTGGGGCAGAGGGTTAGGACACTGCAGAGTGAGGGAATGGGTCACAGGAGTAGGGAGGAAGAGGTCACCTGAGTTCATCAGGACTGGCATGGTGCAAGGTGAAGACAGAACCAGGCCTAAGACCCTGAACTGAAGACAGGGACACTGAAGGTTTTTGAGTAGGGGAAGGTAATCATTCAATCAAATTCGTGACTAAAACATTCCAAGTTATTGCTGAATCCATCTGACACCAGATCATAAGTACACAAAGTACACAAAGCAGAAAAAGATAGAAAATCAATATTCTTTTTTTTTTGTTTAGTTGTTGACGGATCTTTATTTTATTCATTTATTTATATGCGGTGCTGAGGATCCAACCCAGTGCGTCACACATGCAAGGCAAGTGCTCTACCACTGAGCCACAACCCCAGCCCCAGAAAATCAATATTCTTAATCAAGACTCAAACAAATAAAAACTCCCAACAATTAAAATAAAATTAAAAAGACAAAGAAGGCCTGCTTACTTCTGAGGAATCACAGCAAAGAAGGGGATCTGTGCCTGAACACAGGAGCTCAACCCTGGCCTACCTCTCCCTGCTGTGATGGCTCCACATGGCCCCATTCTAATGACTCCTGAGACCATCTCAACCACCAAAACCCCAGGGCAGCAAATCCAACCCCATCCTCCCCCAGAGAAAAAAATTCCAGCAGGGAAATGACAATCCCTGTCACTTCCTTCCTATCTAGAAGCCGGCCCATGAGGACTGCTACCCTGTTTCACCTGATCACACCAGATACCCTGGCTAGAATGGGAACCGGATCCTGCTGGCTTGATTGAGTTAAAAGGAACAGTGCCAGGCCATCTAAAAGTCTCTCAATAGCTTGATGGCTTCAGAGAGGCCTTCGTGGCTCTGAAAGGCCAGCGACCTGTCTCAGCTCCCGGGGTTAGGGAGGAGCAGGATGAATCCCCTAGCACAGAATCCAGAAGCACTGGAGGCCAGCAGTTCTGAAAGACTGCAGAGAGGGCTTGTTTACATTTTTCTCTTGGGCTGAAACCCATCTATTTAAACTTTAACCAGAGGCAATTATAAAACCGTGGTGAGCCAGAGAGAGAGATGGCAGCCTGCGCAAGCCGGCAAGTCAGATGCCAGGAGTCTGGCACTGAGCGGATGGAAAGAGAGGAGAATATTTTTGAGAAAGGGATCAAGGAAAAACAACAAAGGAGGCTTGGGAAGCAAAAGGTGTCGCCCAGGCAGCTGGCGTTCAGAAGTAGAGTAGGGAGGACAGAGGTGAGGGCAGGAGGTGGGAAGGGGGACGGGCCAGGGAAGACGGCAGCCTCTGATGGCTGTCACCATCCCACCGGTTCAAAAGTCCCTCCCGCAACATCTGACAGTCACAGTTCCACTGTTTGTTCCCTTTTTTCCCTCCTCTTGGGTCAAAAGTGCACTAACCCAGAGAATCAGCAGCAAAAAGAAGCCAGCCCGGGGCAGGCACGTCCGGCCTGCCAGGACACAGGCCCTCTTCCCCGAAGGCCAAATCTCCTCCTCTTCAGTTCAGGTTTTCCTGGCAGAGACCCACCTTGGAGCCTTGACGATCAGCCCAGTGACGTCAGAGGAAATACCCCACTGGACAAAGGCCTCTACTCCAGTTGCCTAAACTGAACCCCATGCCTACCGGGATCTGGGTCCTAGATTTAATGAGTCCTACAAACTGGTGGTGGGGGCAGGGGACAGGGGGAGCACTGTGGCTCTAAAGTAAAGGTTTTAATTCTGGACTTGAGGACACCTGTGGGCCTGGCCCTGACACCAGGGCCAATTTCAGATGCATATCCACACATAGGAAGGTCTACTGGACAACAGCTGCTATAGACAGAATGCGTTCCCCCCAGATTTGTATGTTGAAAACTTAATTACTAAAGTGATAACATTAGGAGTAGGATTTGGGGAAGTTATTAGGTCATGAGGCCAGAGTCCTCATGAATAGGATTAGTATCTTTATGAAAGAAGCCCCAGAAGCTGGGTGTGGTGACTCATGCCTGTAATCCTAGTGACTCAAGAGGCTGAGACAGGAAGAGCACAAGTTTGAGGCCAACTTCAGCAACTTAGTGAGACCCTGTCTCAAAATAAAAAATTAAATGTTCTGGGAATGTGGTTCAGTGATAAAAGCACTGCTAGGTTCAATCCCCAGTACCAAAAAAAAAAAAAAAAAAATCTACCACCAACAGCAAAAACCCAGAATGCTGCTTTTGTCCTTTGACCATGTGAGGACACAGTGAGAAGATGGCTCTCTATGAACCAGAAAGAGGCCCTCATCAGACACCAGATCTGCCAGTGCCTTGATCTTGGACTTCCAGCCTCTAAAAATCGTGATCATAAACTACCTTGTCTCTGATATTATGTACTAAGACAGCAGACCCCGAAATCCCTCTCACTGCAGGGAACCTGACATTCCACTCCTACTCTTAAACTTTTCAGTTTTGATGTCCCCAGGAAGATAAAAATGCAATGTGCAGAGAATTCAGATGTTTTAGCAGGAATTCACTTCCCACTACTTCCAGGCAGCTTAGCTTTGGGGCCCTGTGGGAAGAGGATCTAGGAAAAGCATTCTGGGGGCGGAGAAGGCCTTGGGAACTACCAGCAGGAAGCTGGCAGGAGGCATGGAAGAGCTGGAGACATATCTCTGTGTATAACAGTGAGGCCCAAACACAAGTCAGAGGTTCACAGCAGAAAGACAAGTCACCCTGCCTTTCTGTAAATCCTTCTCGGCTCGCCCAGTTCTCACCAGGGAAACCAGCACACAGGAGGGACCTAAGGAAGGTCAGAGGACTAGGGAAGCACCCTGGGATATTCAGGTCCCCGCCTGGAATCCCAGGGCAAGGAGGCCAAGGTCACGGGCTTCTCTCCAGACCAGTTTGCTACACTCACCGGAAGGTCAGTCCTCCAGCTCTGAGCCACTCCAGCCAACCATCTAAAAAATTCATGACCCTGTTCCCAAGGGCCTGGAAGACTCCTTGCAAACTCACCCTGATTGGTGACAGATCCCAAGATCGTATCCTTGTTTGTGTGGAGGCAGGGCACTTCATACAAGGATGAAGAGTTTGTGATGTGCTGCAATTTTATGTCTTAAAGTCTGTATGGGTAGAAATTGCTTCCTTATGCCCTGATTCTGGAAGAGAAAGAAAGTCAGATACTGAGGTCTCCTACAGAACAGATGCCTGTGAACCTGTGACAGCCAGCGGACATCCCAGGAGCCACGTGGACATTTCAGAGGGATGTGCACATTGCCCAACACCCAGCAGAAAGTGTTATACCTGGGGAGAGAGATTTTGTAAAATCAGGCATGGAATCTCCAAGGGAATGCTGGGGAACTGTACATAAACCAGTAGCAAAGAGTAGTAGGTTAAAAGAGTGGATGCAGGAGCCAGGCTGTGAGAGATTAGCTCTGTGATCATGAGCAAATCATTTAACCTTTCTGGGCCTGAGTTTCTTCATCCATAAAAATTCAGACAATAGTAGATCCCAAGTCATAGAGTGGTTGTAAGGATTAAATAAGTTAATATTTAAAGGATCAAGTTAATATTTAAAACAGTGTCTGTCACATAATGAGAGATACGTAAGTGGAATGTTTAAAAAGTCATATAATCAAATCTCCACGCCTGGACACTGGTTGTTTCTTAATTGACAAAGTCTTTGGTGGGCTCTGTGCGTACCCTCCCATCATTCCAGCATGAGAAGGCAGAAGAAAGGCATCCGGACGACTTTCTCCTGCAGCAAAAGGTAAGGCACCTTGGCTTCATTCTGACTTCTAACAATGTGCACACCCAGATCAAGGCCCAGCCAGAAGGAGAAGCTGTGTCCAGTGTGTGGACCAGAAAATGGGAATCCCTCCATCCAAGTCCCTCAGACCCTCGCCATCTCGCTGCCTGTATATCGCCAAACGCTGCACACAGCTGTCCCCCATGGATACCCTGCACCAAGCCAGGGTTCCAGAACCTAAGGAATAGCGCTCCGAGAACCTCCCATGGGGCTCCTGGGATGTCTGCTGGCCGTGGTGGCTCAACAGTGTGCATCCCACAGAAGACGTCAGAGAAGGGGAGGAGGAGCAGAGAAGTCGGCAGGTGGCAGGAAGAAGGAAGGATCATGGCGAGAGGAAACCAAACATACCAGGAAAAAAAGTAGAAAAGCCTAAGTAAGTACAAGAAAACTTTTTTTGTCTCTCTATTTTTGGCCAAGTGAAAAAATAAAAAATAAAAACCAAGAGACTCAGACAGAGCCCGTGAAGGGAAGGAACCAACTGACAAACTGCAGAACTGTGAAATGCATGCTAATTACCTCACCCTTCCTCCTGCGCTGGGCTGCAACCAGAGCCCACAAGCCATTTGTACGTTGGCCTCATAATGATTTCATTTTACAGATTTCCTTCCACTTTTTTTTTTTTCTTTTTCCTTTTTCTTACAAAGGCCATCACAATTCTATTCTGTTTTGGGAAGTAGGAACAAGATCTATCTTTAGGAAATTTAAATGCCAAAGAGCTCAGATAAGCATAATTGAGAAGCAAAGCCTAGTTGGTGTGATCGAGACAAATATTTAATCACAAATATTTGAAATTCTTCCCCTTTGTGCCCTGAGGAGAGAAGTGCCTTTGTTTGCTGAACTGGCTCCTAGAACTACAGAACTACGTGGCCTTTGTCCTGCTGTGGAGGACACTGGGCAGGGAGAGACACCAAAGGAAGGCAAAATATTAGTCAAGTGCCTACCATGTATCAGGCCTTCTGCTAGAAGCTAGGAGTGAACCCTCAGGAACCTAATGATCTTTTTCTTTTTTTTTTTTTTCTTTTTTTTTTTTTTTTTTTTTACTTAATAAAGTTGTGGTAAAACACACAAAATGTACCTTGTTAACCATTTCTAAGCGTACAGTTCAAAAGTGTTAAGAATAATTCCCATGGTTGTGACATCTCCAGAAATCTCACATCTTGTAAAATTGAAACTGAACATGCATCCAACACAGTAAACCGCTCCCATTTCCCTTTCCACCCCCAGATCTCTACTTTCTGTTTCTATGGATTTAATTACTTGAGCTCCCTCATAGAAGTGGAGGCAGCCAGTTGTTTGTCTTTCTGTAACTGGCTTATTTCACTCAGCATCATATCCTCAAGGTTCGTCCACGTTGTAGCCTGTATCAAGAATTTCTCTTTCTTTTAAAGCTGAGCAGTATTACATCCTATGTGTAACAGACTTGGCCTGTCCATTCCTGACCGTGGATACTTGAGTTGCTTCCACCTCTTGGCTATTGTAAATGAGGCTGCTATGAGAACTGTCTTAGTCAGCTTTTTTTTTGCTGCTGTGACTAAAAGACCCCACCAGAACAATCGTAGAGGAGGGAAAGTTTATTTGGGGGCTCATGGTTTCAGAGGCCTCAGTTCATAGACAGCTGGCTCCATTCCTCAGGGCTCAGGGTGAGGCTGAACATCATGGCGGAAGGGTGTGGCAGAGGGAAGCAGCTCACGTGATGATCAGAAAGCAGAGAGAGACTCCACTCACCGGATACAAAATATATATCCCATAGCCATGTTCCCAATGAACCACTTCCTCCAGCCACCTGCCTCCAGTTACCACTCAGTTAATCCCATCAGGGATCAATTCACCGATTGGGTTAAAATCATTTCTCCTCTAAACCTTTTGGTATTGTCCCACACATGATCTTTTGAGGGACACCTTGCATCCAAACTACAATAAACACAACACTCTTTAAAGAAGCTTATTCCATCATATTTGTTTACCCATCCTTTGTCCCAACTGAAGTTTTAGCTGCACAGGGACCTGTTATTTATCCTGGTATGCCCACTTCCCGTACAGTGTGGGCACATAGTAGGAACTCAAAAATATTTGTTCAACAAAATATTTTTACACTTCTTAGTCTCCAGTATTGCAGCTGGCTGCTTTACATATTTTAATAAATAAGTTTTGCAATTTTAATGAATGTTATTTTGATTATATTTACATAGTAAGCTAGTTTATATAAGGAGATAAGTATTAAAAAAAATCCAAATCTCAATCAAAATCCACTCAAGATGAAATGCCATTGACAATTCCTTCCCACTCACCTTGCTTAAAACCAACTCTTATTCCTGTCTTTCTTCCCCTTTCTTTCCCTCAAGTCATGGCACTGTTAGATCCTGAGGGCATTCATTAGGGGTCCCTCAGACAATGGAAAGCCAGGCATGGCTTTGGAGTTTGGTTTATTCAGCTCAAAATCTTTCCCTGGGGTTATTTTGGATGAGGCACAGGATCAACAACACCTAGCTCCATCTCTGGAGGAACTCACAGAATTATGGCTCTCTCTGCTTATTCCTGATAACGACTAAGTAAGAGACATTGGTTTTCTCAGGTACAGAAAATAGTGTTTATTTCCATTCCCGGTTAGCCAGATGATAAACAGAAATACAACTATAGTGTTTACAGAGCATAAGGAAGTTGTGAAAATTCTGTATTTTATTTGATGATTAAAAGTGTATTGAAAGGACTGGAGTTGTGGTTCAGTGGTAGAGCGCTCACCTAGCTCGTGCGAGGCCCTGGGTTCAATCCTCAGCACCACATAAAAATAAATAAGTAAATAAATAAAAGGTATGTGTCCAACTACAATTAAAAAATAAATATATATTTTTTAAATGTATTGAAAATAGTATTGTATTTGATGATAACTACTGTGTTAAGTATCAGCAGTTGGCAGGAGCTAGTTCTGTGACCCTTTAAAAAATACATGTTGGAATCATGATTTCTAGTCAAGGTAGGATTTTTGTACCTAAGCCTTTGATGTTCATGCTCATCTCTACACACAAAGCAATGGTTATCGTATTGGTCTGTTTTACATTACCCTAACAAGATCCCAGAGGCTGGGTAACCTCATTAAGAAAAGAGGTTTATGTAGTTCACAGTTCTAGAGGTTCAAGAGCCTGCACGTGGTGATAATCTTTTTGCTAGCAGAGTCCTAAAGTGGCACAGGACATTATGTGGCAAAAGACAAAGAGTACGCGCATGCATGCGTGTGTGTGTGTGTGTGTGTGTGGTGTGTACATGTCCTCTGGTCTCTGTCCCTCTTCTTATAAAGTCACCAATATTCAAATGAGGGATCCACCCTGATGACCTTATCCAATCCTGACCACCTCCCAAATCCCCACCTCTAAACACTACAGTCAGATTTTTCACCCTCCAGATACCTCAAAATGGGGATTAAATTTCAACAGGGAATGCTGGTCACGTTCAAAGCAACAGTGATTAAAATATGACAGGAAAAATTAAAAGGCACAGTTGGCCCAATGTATAAACTTTTCCATGGATTAGAAACTCAAAGCCGTGAATGGAGCAGGAGATGGGGTTACTGGGTCCCAAATATGAAAGGTGGCCCAGGATGCCAGCATGGGCTTCTGAGGGGCCAGGGAGATTAGAAGTGACTGCCCAGGGTGAGAAGGGTAGGTGGTAAGCCAGGTCCAGTGCCCGAAACCACAGGCCACACTGAGCCCCCACCCCATACACACAGACCACCTGTAAGGAGGCTGGAATAGCTGCCTGCTGCCTGGTGATGGGCCTCCCACCAGGGAATAATGAGGCCAGGAGAAAGTGCACGTGACAGGCAACTGGACCAAGCAACCACAGGCCTCCCTGATGGCCTCTATTCCTTTACTGCAAGATTGAGCAGGAAAAGAAACTCTTCTTATTGTGTAATATAATTGTCTATGAAGAAACTCAAACAGGCTCCACAGGAGTGGAAAAGAAGAATTGTCTCTTTAGAATTAAAAGACAATTTGGCAAGGTTGATGGGTATAAGATCAATTACAAAATTCAGTCTCTCTCTCTCTCTCTCTCTCACACACACACACACACACACACACACACACACACACGTTGTTATTGTCGTGTTTGGGATTGAAACTAGAGATGCTCTACCACTGATCTATATCCACAGTAACTCCCCCACCACCACCTTTTTTTTTTAAATTTTGAGGCAGGGTCTCACTAAGTTGCCTTCAAATTTGCAATTCTCCTGCCTTAGTCTCCCCGATAGCTGGGATTACAGGTATGCACCACTATGCCAAAATGTATAATACTTAATAGCAAACAAAAGCTACAAGGCTTAATAGAAATAGCATTGTGGCTAGGTATAAATAT